TCCGCCCTCCCCCCACGGCCCCACGAGCGTGGCCCAACCTCAAAGAGAGGCCTCGCGCTCCTCGCGCCGTCGACTGATTTTCGGCTTATCTTCCGCCGTTCCCTTTCCAGGTCTCATCCTCAAGCGCCGCCCGCCAACATCCCCGTGCTCCCCGTCCCGCTTCGATTTTCCCGCCAGTTTTCATTCGGTGACCAACCCCGTAGCTCGTTTCGCGCACCCTGTGGCTCCGCTCGACCAAGTTTTATTCATTTTTTTCGTTTTCGGTTTCGTTTCGCCCAAAATTCGGCGACACGCAGTTCTTCGTAAATAATCGATCCTGAGTTCTTTTGGTGTTTTTTTCGCTTTTGGACTCACGTTTTTACCCCTTTTTGCTGGTGTCTCTAGGAACAGATTTTTTTTCTCTCTCTCTCGTGTAGCACATGAGAATAGATTTGGAGTGTGAGCTTTCGCCCATAGATCACACTTTCACGTTTTTCGTCATTTTTTTGGTGCCTTTACTAACATTTTTTTGGTGCGCGATTTTTATCTGAACGCCGATTGACAATGAGTCCTCGGTGGATCCAGTCAAAATAGCATTCGAGTTTTTTTCGTGATTTTTCAACCGTTATTCGCATTTTTTGGTGTGTATTTTAACCGAAGATCTTATCTTTTCTAGAACAATTCGGACAGTGTCGCGGTTTCAGTGTATTCTGAGACGTTTCTAGAATAAAACTTACGGCTCCCCAACCATGTGCTAGGAGCTTAACAAAGTTTGTGATAAGTGATTTCACGGATCTCGCGCAACTTACGAGGATTTTACCGGTTGGTTGGAAGTGTTTTGAAAGTGATTGAAAATCAAAAAGTCCATCTGATAACACGAGGTGTGTTTTTCTTAAAAAGAGTGTTGAAATAGTGATTCGAAGAGGTTAAAATGAGGCTCTGTCGCTATAGTCTGAGTTGTGATACCTCTGTTCTCGTCTCGAGGTGACCCGTGGCTGTGGGCGAGTGATCATGAAGAAATCGATTATTGTGACAATTACAATCGGGCCTCCGGATTGACGCTCATTAAGGGGCCCCAAAGTCCAGACTGCTGAGCGATGCATTGGGGCCTTTTTATTCTCCTCAATTTCTTGCTCTTGCTCTTCTTCGGGTGAGTAAATTTTTTATTTACGGTACTAAACTGAAGGAAATTGGACTCATTGTATTAAAAAAAGGCATTTTTCAAAATTTACAGTCCTTTAAAATGAGCTTTCCGTGTGATTTTGCTAAAAATTGACCTTGGCCCCTAGCCCCTCCCCCCAAATTTTAGCGTAACCCAAAATCGTTTGACGTGCATGAGAGGACCATAGATATGGTCTTCTCTGCAAATTTTGAATGAAATCGAAGAGATAGATTCTGAGATATCGCTGTACACAAATTTAGGGGACGCCTGACGGACGGACACACATTTTTTCAAGTATGGTTATTTTGACTCCTGGGACCTTAAAACGTCTAGAAATGATGAAATTTCAACTTTTTTTTCTCCCCTCCCCCTTGCAGGATTACAATACTTCCTGCACCCCAGGGTAGCGAGAAAGTAAAAACCTGTAAAAGCTTTTCGTATTACACTGAAAAAAAGTTCGGTCGCACGTGCCAGAGTTCGGTGTTCCGTACCATCCCAACTAATTCGATTCATCAAACTGAATTTTCGGTTTGTCAAACCGAACTTACGAGGATTTCACCGGTTGGTTGGAAGTGTTTTGAAAGTGATTGAAAATCAAATAATCTATCTGATAACACGAGGTGTGTTTTTCTTGAAAAGAGTGTTAAAATAGATCGTAAAAGTGATTAGAAGTCGTTAAAATGAGTTGCACCGAAAAGAAAAGTTCAGTCGCACGTACCAAAGTTCGGTGTTCCATACCATCCCAACTGATTTGGTTCGTCAAACTGAACTTGTGCGGTAAAGTGAACTGAGGAACTAAGTTTGGTCATACACCGAACGTTCGGTTACACGAACCGAAAGTTCAGTTAGACAAACCGAATATTTGGAATGATATGGAACACCAAACGTTCGGTTCACAGGAACTATTTTTTCTTTTTCGGAAATGTTTTATGCGTCGTAGTGAGCCCAATTGCTTCACTGTGAACACATGCCCACGGTAACATTATCGTATTTTTTAGGCTCTCGTATACGTGAAAAAAAAACTGCCTAAAAATAAATTTTAGGTAAGGGGAGGATTTCTTTCTCTTCTCCTTATTGTGGTAAATAACGAGCTAAAATTATAAACGAGGGATACATTCAATGGTACTTATTAGCAAGTTTAAAGAGTGCAATATTCTACAAAAGTTTCCTCTGCCCTGTTCTCCAAAAAATGTTCGAATTGAAAAATGGAATATGTTCTAGAAGGAACATAAAGCTAAGTTGGATTTTTGATGGTAGACAAAATGTCAGAATCGTAAATGTATACGGTCTCTTTCCCCATGAGCAAATAAACGTAGATTAAATTTATTTACTCAGCTTATCAAGCTACAAAGAAAAAAAAATGTTCATTTTATTTAACTCACTTAGAGTCATATCTAAAATCCTCAACTTGATCTTTATAATCCTCAACTTGATACTTATCTTTGTGACAAATTAATTTTAAAAAAATAGTCATATCTACAGCGCTCGGAAGGAGGCAACCAAATATTCTGAGAGGGAGTCTGTTCGTTAAAAATGAGTTTGAAAATATCATATGAATTATGAATTATTCCATCAACAATACTTTAGGGCTTCAATTTTACTTTGAGGGCGTGGACTTGTCAATTTTTACTCGAAGGAATAAAATTCAGTCTTTCTTCTATTTTTTTTTTGTTTTTATTTCGATTTATTCATAATACATCAGGATGTGTATTGGAACAGTAATATTTTTTAGCATTCACTGGAAAAAGAGGTCGGTTTGATCTAGATTCCAGACTCTTAAAAAAATTAACAAGGAAAAATACTCTTGATTCAATCGGACTTTTTGCTTGAATCAAAAAGAAATCCGCCCAAATCAAGAGGCTCGGCTCTTCGATTCAGGGAAAAATCTGATTGAATCAAGAGTATTTTTTCTGCTCGATATTATTAAGAATCTGGACTCTAGATCCAAGCAACTTTTTTCCAGTGGAGATGAATTCTCCTCACTGACTATCTGAGAAGCCAATCTGATTCACTAAGAATAATCTGACGATCGATCTTGCTTTAAATTTCTGTGGAGAAGAAATAGTACGCATTGATCAACATTCATTCTCATGTTGAATTTCGCCACCCGACTGACGAGTGAACCCTTTTCTCCCCAGGGAACTCGGGTCGTTGTCGCATGAATGCAACCCATATCGCACGCTTTGTGTCAGGATTGTGATTCAGTGGCTATGCCGGAAACACGGGTAATTTTTATGTGGTATGTCAGAAAAAGAGGGGGAGATGTCTCATAAATAGAGGGTGTTTCGTAAAATGCGAAGATACACAATCATCACATTTCGGTTTTCGATAACCTACGAATTACTTTACTGTGCGGCTGTTTTAGAACCCTAATGAAAATTATCAGGTTTTTCATTTTTACATTTTTTTTTTTAAATTTTTTTTTATTTGACGGATCAATTTTGGTGTGTAGTTAATAAAACGGCACAAGAAAGTATTTCTTTTTCTCTTTTTTTCTTAGCATAATAATAATGTACGTAGTTAATCAAATGGTTAAGACAGTGCATTTCCTTACGATATTTCTTTTCACACGGTAAATTTCGAAGGATATTATCACGCGTGTTATCCACTTAACAATTTGGAATTCAATAATTCTTCCCTGTTTGCTGCATAATTACCTCCCGTTGCAAATAATAAATTATTGGGCCGGCTTTTGATCTACTTAAAATGGCGAGGTAGAACTTAGGTAAAAATCATTCCACCAATTAATGGCTGTGATACGTACTTATTTTTCATAAAATGTTATAATTCATTGAGTTGGAAACGAAAGTCTGTCAGAAATTTTGATTCTTAGTTTCTTCATTATTGGTAATGCTTATTTTTCGATCTCATTCAATTATGACAGTTTCTACTAACGGACAAGTCCTATAAACTACGAAATAGTTAATTTACCTTTTTTCTATGAGAGCAAATTAAAATTTCCGTACGAAGATGAGAGTATATATTTATGATTTTGATTAATGTCAATTGCAATTGAGCTAAGAGAAAAACAAGAAGAGCATGGAACGATGAAATGTGATTGTATGAACTTACCCAAACTCCTTCATGGAGTGGCAATCAATTTCAAGTGATCATGTTCTTTATATTGAATTTAAAACCTCGTTGAATTGAAAATTTAATTTCGCCGAATAATATTCAGTTTCGAAGGAGATCGAACAGTTTTTCTTGTTAATGACGGAGCGTTGCATATCCTCCTCGAGAATTCATTATTTTGCTAAGGAGGAATTTGTTATATTTTTGAAGTCCTGTCTTTAAATGTCTGTCTTGCAAAATCTTAAATATTAAGCAAATTTCCAGCTTTTCAATTTGAGACAAACTCGCGGTCATAATATACCATTTTTTTGCAGCAAATTGTGAATTCATAATCCATAATTTCAAATCCAAATTAACCTGCCTCCACTCCCCCCCCCCAAAAAAAAAGCTCCAAATGACCCTGTCTTGACACCCATTTCCAGGAATCCTGGTCTCTACTCAAAGTGTGAATAAATATTGTATGGGTGTACAGTGTACACATGTGTGTTTTTTTACCTATTACAGTTTCCCTGACGAGTCAACTAAAAATTTCAGGGAAAAATCCCTCTTTTATCGCAAAAGTTATGACGTCATATGGAGGCGCAAAGCACACGTCTCAAAGTAATAGTCCCAAAAATAGATCCCATCAGACTTATCAAGTGTTGTAATTAGATTTTCTTGTGAATGTGAGGTTAAAAATGGACAGCTTACGTCGTAACCGGTGGAACTTTTCCTAATTAATAAAATTGCTGGCGCAACAGCTAGTTTTGTGGTGTCAGGTTTCCCAACCGGGGGTGGCTAACTGTTACCCGGTAGTCCTTCAGAGACCTTGTAATTCCATGAAGATTAATTAAAATAAATATTTGTCAATGTAAAGGCAGTTGTCAAGTTGAATACACGGCACTAAATCCTATGCAGCAAAAAAGAATAGGATTAATGAGAACACATATGTGATTCAGCTTAGCAAAATGGGACTTCAGGTGTAATTAAAGAGAGAAAAAAAGAATAGCATTTGCACAGAAAAAAGGCATAATAAAATTTTACATCATTTCGCGCCGGCACAGAGAGCTTAAATAGTATTTTTTTTTATTTAACTAATTTTGTAATTTAATGTTGTGTTGGAGACTTTACAAAACATTTGATGATCTACTTCCTGCAGATGATCTGCGGACTTCATTTATACAAAATTGACCATCCAAGGGTCCTAAGGCAAAAAGGACTTAAATCTAAATGATCACTTGAATGAAAAATTTGTACCAGGCTTCCATATAGTTCCTTAAATGGAGGTTTTTTTTTCTTCATCCGATTTCTCCCGACACAATATTTCCACAATTTTTACAGCAAATAGATGTCTTATCAGTGAGAATTACGGGTGTAATTTTACTGTGTAAAATTTTCGAATACACGAGGAAATCTTACAAAACACCCATGGGAACCCCATTAGAGAACTGCCCAGGGGCTTATAATTCTGGAAAGTTATAGATGCGCAAAATGATGTGATAGGGGTTTTTTTTTTCCTTTGTCACAGTGTCTTAAATTTTGTCTCAACAGGGACACTCAATACAAATCCTTGGAGAAAAAAAGAAAAAAATTAAAATTTTTTAGACCAACACATTTTTAATACGTTTTAATTTAACAAAACAAGTTTTCCAATGGCAGCATGGACGTCCACACCCATGATTCACAAATGAATCTCGTATGACTAACAGACGACTTAATCGATGACTTAGTAGATGCTTTCACCGTTGAAAAAATTTTTCACTATATCCTCCCAGAGAGCAGTGGCGTGGCGTGAATTGCGATGTATCGATTGTTATGCCATTTAAAACTATGGGAAAGGATCGATAAACAGGGTGTTTGCAGCGAACACCTTAATAATCGATTCTTTACCATAGGTTTAAATTACATAACAATCGATATATCGCAATTCACGCCAC